AACTGGCCGATCCCTGGCACAGTATCTGAGGGCTGCTGTAATGGCTCTTCGGCTCCTGCAGGTCCGAGGATGCAGCTGTGTGTCCCAGTGCCCCAGGGGAACGCAACAATGGCGGCAGAGCACAGCGCTTCTGCCTGCACTAGAGTCTGCGTGAGTCCAGGAAGTGTTTTGGTGCTGGGTGTCCTAAGCGTTAGAGCTGCTGACCCCCTCCGTTGGGGGTTTCCTCCTGCCAGAGACACGCAGTCTGGTGCCCTGTTGCCCTGGTGCCCACAGTTCTATCTGAGGCGGCGAATCACGCGCGCAGGCAGGGCTCTGTGCAGGCAGGCGCCTTTGTCCCGACTCTGGGTCCGGGCTGGCTCCTGGGGCACCCACGGAACCCGAGTCTTTTCCAGGGGATGTCTGGGTAACCTGGGGTCGGTCCCAATTATTTTCTGCTCCGTGGGGTTATCTCTCGACTGGGAAATCCAGTCTATGGTGTTGTGGGCCCACAGTTCAGTCTGGGACCGTGACCAGATTGCGCTGGCGGGTAGCTCTGGGCTGGCGACCAAGCGCCTGGCGGAACGGGGATCTCTTCCGCGGTTTATCCGGATGAGTTAAAGCTGATCGAATCCCCCACCGTGGGATATCCTCTCACCTGAGAAACACAACCACTTGTGTTTTATGGCCACGAGTTCTGATTGCTGGTCACTGTGCCAATCCTGCTGTGCTGCTCCTCAGAATGAGAGTCCTCCCGGCGCCGCCATCTTGCCCCGCCTCCATTTTATCGAGGTCCCATTTATTAATTGTTGCTCTTAGAGCCTGTGCTGTTGGTGTTCTGTTCAGGAAGTTGTCTCCTGTGCCAATGAGTTCAAGGGTATTCCTCACTTTTTCTTCTAAGCGATTTAGTGTGTCTAGTTTTATGTTGAGGTCTTTGATCCACTTGGACTTTAGTTTTGTGCAGGGTGATAAGTATGGCTCTATTTGCATTTTTCTACATATAGACTTCCAGTTAGACCAGGACCATTTGTTGAAGATGCTGACTTTTTTCCATTGAAGGGATTTGGCATCTTTGTCAAAAATCAGGTGTCCATAAGTGTGTGGATTTATGTCAGGGTCTTCTATTCGATTCCATTGATCCACCAGTCTGTTTCTATGCCAGTACCATGCAGTTTTTAGTATTGTTGTTTTATAGTACAGCTTGAGATCAGGGATGGAGATACCTCCTGAAGATCTCTTACTGTAGAGAATTGTTTTAGCAATTCTGGGTTTCTTGTTGTTCCATATGAAGGTGAGAATTTTTCTTTCAAGGTCTGTAAAGAATTGTGCTGGTAATTTGATGAGAATTGCATTGAATCTGTAGATTGCTTTTGGAAAGATGGCCATTTTTACTATGTTAATCCTGCCAAGCCATGAGCATGGGAGATCTTTCCATCTTCTGATATCTTCTTCTAATTCTTTCTTCAGAGACTGGAAATTTTTTTTATACAAGTCTTTGTGTTCTCTTAGGCTCTGCATGATATCTGTCCAGGCCCTTCTGGCTTTCATAGTTTCTGTTGAGAAGTCAGGTGTGATTCTTATGGGTTTGCCATTATATGTTACATGGCCTTTTTCCCTTGCAGCTTTTAGTATTTTTTCTTTCTTCTGTATACTTACTGTTTTGATTATTATGTGACGGGAGGATTTTCTTTTCTGGTCTAATTTACTAGGTGTTCTGTAGGCCTCTTGTATTCTTATAGGCTTCCCCTTTAAGTTTGAAAAAAATTTCTTCAATGATTTTGTTGAAAATATTTTCTTGGCCTTGGAGGAGGGAATCTTCTTTTTCCTTTATTCATATTATTCTTAGGTTTTGTCTTTTTATGTTGTCTTGGATTTCTTGGATGGTTTGTGTCAGGAATTTTTTAGATTTATTATTTTCTTTGACGGATACATTGATTTCTTCCATTGTATCTTCCACACCTGAGATTCTTTCTTCCATCTCTTGTAGTCTGTTGGTTATGCTTACCTCTGTAGTTCCTGTTTTCTTTCCTAGGTTCTCCCTCTCTGTGATTTCCTCCGTTTGTGTTTTCTTTAATTCTTCCAATTCTATCTTCAGATCTTGAACTGTTTTGTTGATTTCCTTCACCTGACTGACTGTATTTTCCTGTTTTTCCTTCAATTCCTTCAGCTGTTTGTTTGAACGTTCCTCTGTTTCTTTTATTTCTTTCAGTGACACAGACTGTTTGGCTGCATCTTCTTGTATTTCTTTACGGATGACCATAATCTGTTTTATTATATCTTCCCCTAATTCTTTACACATTTTATTTACTTCCTCCATTAACCACTTCATTAGCATAGATGTAAGGTCATCTTCTTGAATTTCACTTATGTTAGGGTGTCCAGGGCTACTTGCCCCTGGATAACTGGGTTCTGGGGATGCCATGTTGTTTTGCCTTTTGTTGGTTGTGCTTTTTTGCTGGCCTCTACCCATCTCTCTGTCTCAGGTGTTGTCTGTTAATTTGTGGTGCCTGCTGAGTTCTGGGGTGGGGAGAATCCACTTGGCGGGGTTCTGAAGTTCTCCTCTGCTTTTTGGGTATGGTCAACTGAATAGTGGTGCTTCTCAGGAATTGTCACAGTTCACTTCAGGTGTATGGACCTGTATGGTAACTATGGTATTCAGGAAGGGTTTCCTCTCATCAGGAGTGGTCCTGGTGATGGCTGCCCTGCTGCTGGGTTTCTTGCTCTGAATTTAGTGAGCAGCAGCTGTTGCTCTTAAGTTGTAATTGTTGGGTGCAGCCCTCTTGAAAGACGAGGGATTCCCACAGTTTTGTCAGTCTAGCTAGGGATAACTGGTTGATCCTTGGCACAGTATCTGAGGGCTGCTGTAATGGCTTTCTGGTTTTTGTAGGTCTGAGGATGCAGCTGTGTGCCCCAGTGCCCTAGAGGTACTCAATAATGGCGGGTGAGCACAGAGCTCCTGCCTGCAGTAGAAGGCTAGAGTCTAGAGTCTGAGTGAATCCAGAAAGTCTTTTGGTGCTGGGTGTCCTGAGCGTTAGACCTGGTGATCCCCCCACTGTGGGGTTTCCTCCTGACAGGGACACCCAGTCTTTGCTTTGGGGACCACTGTTCTGCCTGGGATTGCGAGTAGAACCCGCAGGCACAGACGCACGTGGCTCCACCTTTCTGGCCTTTGGGAGCCTGGGCTTCTGCCTAAACTGGGTAATTTTCCCGAGACCTTTTCGGGGTGGAGCTGAGTGCTCTGTGATCAGACCAGCCATTTCCCTCCCTGTGGGTTTGCACCCAACAGTGAAACTCAGTCTCTGATGCCCTGGGGCCCACAGTTTTGTCTGAGGCAGTGAATCAGGTATGCAGGCAGGGCTCTGTGCTGGCACCTGGGTTCCAGGCTCTGGTTCTGGGCTGGCTCCTGGGGCGCCCGTAGAACCCGAGTCTTTTCCAGGGGATGTCTGGGTAACCTAAGGTCGGTCCCAATCGTTTCCTGCACCATGGGATTATCTCTCGACTGGAAATTCCAGTCTGTGATGTTGTGGTGCCCACAGTTCATTCTGGGATAGTGACCAGAGCATGCTGGCATGTGGCTCTGGGCTGGCGACCAAGAGCCTGGCGGAACCGGAATCTCTTCCAAGGTTTAGCCGGGTGAGTTAAAGCTGATTGAATCCCCCACTGTGGGGTATCCTCTCACCTGGGAAACACAATCAGTTGTGTTTTATGGCCACGAGTGCTGGTCACTGTGCAGATCCTGCTGTGCTGCTGCTCAGAATGAGAGTGGTCCCGGTGCCACCATCTTGCCCCCCCTAGTCTGTGTCTTTTTTGGGGAGTGTTGAGTCCATTGGTGTTGAGAAAGATTAATGACCAGTGGCTGTTAGAACTTTTGATTTTGCTGTTGGTTGTGGTAGTGTGTTTGGCTACTTTTAGTTTCGCTGTAGCAAGGTTATTTATTTCTTGTGTTTACTTGACTGTAGTTAGCTTTCCTGGGTTGTATTTTTCCTTCAATACCACGTGATTTAGTATTTCATTAATTGTTTTGCATGGAGTACTCCTAGTTTACGTGTGGGCAGAAGACCTCAGTATGTAGACACTACTGTCTAAGGTGGAGACTGACCATGCCTTACACACCTCCTATGCCTCTTCAGGCACTTCTGTGTGTCTTCATACATATTTACAGGCTGGTTGGCTCCTGGGCTTCCATTGCAAATCTATGCTTTTCTGTTTTGCCTCCGGGTGCTCTAGAGTGGTTTCCCACTTTGTGAAAGAAGGATCAACTTACTGACACTCCGAAGGCTTTTAAGATCCTGTCTCTGATTCAGGACCAATTTTGAGATAGACCCAAACATCTAAAGGAAGAATTTGGAGCACTCACAGGGAGGAGCCCTGGGGTGGGGAGTTACAATTATAGGCCTGTGGCCAGAGATGACTTTACAGAACTTGGCATGATAACGTGTTGCAGAAAACGGCCATTCGTTAGGGCAAAGACAGGAGTGTTGTAGCTCCACCATGGCACAACAATGTCTGCTGGTAGATCTTCAAAGCAACCTCCAACACACAGCCAATAGGGCAGAGGCCAGCAAGGACTTGTAATGGACTTCTTAAGTGAAAGCTGAAGGACTAGTTACTAAGAGGAAGAAAAAGTTGAATAATAACATCTCTAATTAGGATGTGCACTCACAGGCCCTCAGCCACACTGGGAAGTGGCAGATATCAGAATGGCCGAGCAGCTTTGCAGCACTGCCCAAGGCTGCTCTCCCAGACACATCCTCAGACTTGGTGCTTTCTGCAGGATGATGTTTTCATAGCATATGGGGAATATGGCCCTGGTGGTCTTGCCTCTGGTTGGAAAGAGGACAGGATCTTGACAAGTGTGATCAGGGCACACCTGTTATTGTCCTGGACAAAATAAGGATTTATTATCGCATGAGCCAAGCCAAGAAGAAGCTCTTTTTTTGATAACCCTTTATATTTATTTATTTGCTACTTCTTCGACTTAAATGCTTAAAAAGATCTTTGTTTTAAATGCAGGTGATCCAAGGATGTACGATCCCGATTTCCAGGGTCCCGTTGCCAAAAGGTAAGCAACTCTTTTCTAGTGAATGCATTTTTAAAACACAAACACAAAAGTTTATTTTGGGTATATTGTTTTGCAGCTCATGAGGTATTATGTCTATTTCCAGGGAGAAATACCTCACTTCTGCCTTATTCACCTAGAAAAGCACATAGAATAAACTCTCCTTGAATCATGAGCAATGTTCATTCAGCAAATGATCTGCTTTTGCTACTAACCTGAGAGTTCACCACAAAAAAAAAAAAAAAAAAAAAAAAAAAAAAAAAAGCCCTGAGAAATGCTGTGTGCAGCTTATTCATCCTATGGTGATGCAGACTCATTCAGGTGGTTAGTTTCCATGCCTGTGAGCTCTGTAACTCACTGTGGCCCATGCAGAGTTGCTATGCCAACCTCTTCCATGCCAGGCATTTGTGCCACTCAGCTTCCAGAAGCAGGACACTTCTCAGCGACCATCGTGGGTGTTTAGGACAACAGAGTGCTACAGGGAAATAACCACAGCCTTGCCTGTGCTCCCCTCCCCCAACGATGCGTGACATTCCAATTTCATTCAATAATTCAATCCTCTTTTGATTCATCCTCCGTTCTCAGGCTTCCAGAGACAGATCTGTGGGTGGAACAGCTAAATAGGAAAGGATTATGCTGCTGGTAGTTTTTTTTTTTTTTTTTTTTTTTTTTTTTTTTGCCTGGCTTTGACTCTGATTTTTGGCACTCATATGTCATAATAAACCATGGTGTGAAATAATGATCAGCACTCTCATTTGCACTTGCCAGTCACAGGATGCATGCCAGCCTTTCCTTCGAGTTCCCCCAAATCCCCTAGCTTTAAGCAGCTTATTCTAATGCTGTAAAATGTCAGGCCTTTTGCTCAGGTTCCCTATTCACAGGTTTACTTTCTTAGGATGGGCCCGGAGCCTATGTCATCGTCTCTGTGGAAACGCGGCAGGTGCCCCCTTTTACCCAGGATGCAGACAGCCTTGCTCAGCGTGCTCTGTACCTCTTATAGGGACTAATTGGGGAGGACTGTTGAGGCCTGCTGTCCCTCAGGGACCAAGAAATATCATTGAGCTTCAACAGGAATAATAATTACAGTAAACCAACTGTCACATTTAGACGTGGGAACTGTGCATTTCAAGTGTGCCTCTCCTAGTCACGCAGAAGGCAGGGGAGGTAGGCCTGGTTGGTTTTATGGGAATGAACTGAGATCCCCTCACCTTCATGCCCCATTATGAAGCCACCTAAGGACGTGTTGGTCAATAATAAACCATGTGTGTCAGTGGTGTCCCCTAAACTCTGCACATGCATCATTGCATCATAACACACACACACACACACACCAACAAACTCACACCCATGATAATCTCTGTGAGGAAGTAATCTCAGTCTGAGGCTCTGAGGATATTTCAGACACAGAGGGGCTCAGAGGTGCGGCCTTTCTGTGGACAAACCTCCTCACTTCTACCTAAGGAAGGAAGGCAGTCCTGCACAGGCTGCTGGACAAGCAGGCTGCTGGACAGGCTCAGTAGATACTGAAGGCATCTGGGCTCTATCTAACCCTTACTGGGGAAGTATTTTGTGGCATTTAAAGAAGAAAATTAAGTTTTCTCATAGGAAAAGCACTTGTTCAATATAGCGTGGGGGTGGGGGTTGACTTCAAACAAGCCAGTGAGAAAGCAAGCAGAGAGCGCCCCTTCCCACCACTGTCTCTCCCCACAGACGAGCTTAATGACAGCAGGCTATGTGGTACAAATCTCCCCAGCATTTCACAAAGTCTCTGCCACTCCTTTCTGTCTGCCTGCTGGGTTCTCCCCTCAGCCACAAGCACATTTCCTGTCTGCTTGCCCTAGTTGCTCCTGCTTACTAAAAACAGAGTGGCTGAGGCCATTCCATAATGTTGACAGAAAGGTAATTTGATGATTTATGTTTTTTTTTTTCTGTTCCATTTAAAAAGTTGTTCTCCAGGACACATAAATTGCCTTCTGTATTCAGTAATTAGAAAAAGGTCAGTTAGTGTTGGGTTGATACTGCAAAAGCTAGGCAGGTACAGGTGTGGCAGAATAACAGAAGGTAGAAACAGAGTAAACTAAGAAAGAGAAGCTCTTCTATAAAGTAATGCACGGGGACTCTGTTTCATTCAGAGCCAAGAAGTCTGCTTTTTTTTTAGTAGACAATGAGAGCTGTGGAGGGCTTTGTTACTTTTTTGCACTGATATGTACAAAACCCATTAATACATTTAATTTCCAGCAACTGTGTGGATATTTGAGGTAAGACTCCTTTTGTTTGGCGGGGTTTGGGGGTTCAAGTCTATAGCCCCAAGCTAATCAGAAGGCAAAGCATGAAGATCAAAAGTTCAAGGTCAACTCAGCAAGACCTAGTCTCAAAATAAAAAGCGAAAACAGCTGGGGACTATACCTCAGCAGTAGAGGGTTTTCCTGGCATGTGCGAGTCCCTGGGTTGAGTCATAGTAGCACCAAGAAAGAAAACATCAAACATCTCAAACAACCACAGCAGCTCTACTCAGAGTCTACTCAGGACTCTCGTTTCCTGTCGTTTTAATAATTCAGTTGTAAATGGGTGCTTTGAATCATTTCATTAAGATCACTGAGTTGTTTTGTTTATGTGTTTGTTTTTGGATGGGTGCAACTTATATGTAGGGAGGAGACAAAACTGGAGCCCAGCATTGTCCATTGCCCAGGTGTTAGACAAAAGAGAGAAGGACCCGTGTATAGCAGCATCCGGGCCAGAAGGGCTCACACACTGTGGAATAGGGTTAGTAAGTTAGTGAGATGTGCTCATTTGCCTGCTGTGATGGAAGGAGTGATAAGTTCACTGTCAAAAAAGGGCTGAGCAGAGGGTGATGAGCTGTGAGGATTGGTGAAAGCAGGCTCATTCAGCAGAGAATGTGACTAAATGTTCCTTCGTACTCTCCCACCATGCCTCTGGGATTCAGCTCTTCTAGTTTAATTGAGGTTTATTTCTTTTTCTTTATGTACGTAAGTGCTATGCCTGTGTGAATTAATGTTCAGCACCTATGTGCAATGCCCACAGAGGCCTGAAGTGGGTGCTGGGTCTTATGGAACTGGAGTTACAGGCAGTTGTGAGCCACATGTGGGAGCTGGGAACTAAGCTTTGATCTTCTGCAATACCAGCCGGTGCTCTTAACCACTGAGCATCCCTTCAGCCCTGTGACTCAGCTCTTAATGCCAGGACTCAGAAAGAAAGCCTAGCTCAGGTCTAGGAGACAGGCAGGCTGACCCTCACCAAGTTTTAAGGGAGTCTGGGTTCTGTTACTGAGAGAACTACTCAGATTATCCTCATCATCACACCGTCCCCTAATTTATGCAGGTCAAGGTTTTCTTCTTATTAAAATAATTGTTGTCCTTTTTGTCTCTGTAGAAGGGACTTAAATACCCAAAGGTAGAGTTAACTCCTGTGTAGAAAACACAAGGAAAAGCACACAGAGTCTCTGAAGAACGAACCACAAATGTAAAATTGTCTGGGAAGAGGTCATTCTGATTTGAAGCACAGGTTAAATAAAAGCCTGTGTCTATAGCATGTCTTTTTAAAAGTCCTAACGTATGGGGCATGAAGGAAGTAAAAGCAACTAACTGTCCTGCATGCCTGGTTCCTCAGTGCAGCTGAGCTCCTCAGTCTTTGATCATTTGGCTTTTCCATGGCAGACACTCTCAGCTGCAGCTAGTGGAGTTGACGGGCTCTGGAAGCAGAGGAGTGCATGCTTACTGTTGGTGGGAATAGGAGCAGACAGGTTCTAGAAAGTGTCAGGTAGAGGCAATCTGTCAGCTGGTACTTGATGTGCCAGGAAGTAGCATAGCTTGAGAACATTCTGCTGTGTGAGAGCAGGACACTGCATGCCAGGTGTGAGCGGTGGGATGAGTGAGTACCGGGGCTGAGGTGCAGAGGTGAATGCTGGGAAGTGAGCAGCAGCCAGTCCACTGAAGGTTTAGATGACATTGCCGTTTGCTGTTTTCTTATACAGAACTGAGGAGAACTGATGAAGCTGACAGTTCTCTAGAGGAACAGAACTAGTAGATACATGTGTATCTTACCAGGATTTGGGTTGGCTTACATGTGTGACAGGGCAGTTTAACAGTGGCTCTCTGTGTGGCGGAGAGAAACTTAGAGCCCAGCAGCAGCTCAGCCTGCAAGGCTGGAGGCTCCAGAAGTCCCAGTCTGAAGGGCTGGAAGGTGTCTGGGGAGTCACAGCGAGCAGTCTACCTTGGAAGGCAGAAGCTGAAGTCTGACGATGGTCCTTGGAGGCTGCAGTGCTAACAGAAGCGGGGGTGGGGATGTGGGGAGAGGCTTCTGTAGTCATTTGGCAAGGAGTGAAGTGGGGACCTGGCTGGTCCTGAACCCCTCTAGGCTACTTGCTGGGAAGTGCCACTGACTGGAAGACAGGGCCCAGCCCAACGTTCAGGAAAGCCCCGCAGACACTCCTGCTGGTCCATGTCCTAGCTGACATACACCTGTTGACAGTGAAGTTTAACCATCAGGTAGGGGTTCCCTTTAGAGCCTTGAGTCCTCTTGGAGAGCTCCCACACAGTCGCCTTGCTGCTCACAGGGGCACAGCTGTACTAGTCACTTGCCTTATTTCAGAGACTAAAAGCCTAATGAAAGAAGCCAGGAGAAGGAAGGGTCATCCTGTGCTCCAGTCCCTCTGGCAGGGAGTCAGGATGGCAGGCCCTTGGGGTGCTCACGACAGTGCCTCCAATTAGGAAACAGAGGGCTGAGTGCCTGTGCTGGATTTCTCCTTTCTCCTCACTGGGATTCCTCAGCCATCATGGCAGTCCCCATGATGGTGGGTCTCCTCACCACAACAAACATCATGTGAATAATCCCTTACAGACAAGTCCAGGCATTTCTTCCCACAGTGATCTAAACCCAGATCAGACAGCAGAAGCTTGTGTGTTGATATTCGTCCTGCTGGGTGTGTTTATGTTGGCAAGCAGGACATTTCAGTGGAACTGGACTGCAGTGTGGTGGCGTGAGTG